AACATTTTTTCCCCGTTTTCCAATCCATAGTCGAACAGCATTATAAACGTTAAGTTCGGGCAGCTGGTGCCGTTTTCTAGAGTAGACATAAAAAGAAACATACATAAACAGCTGAGTTTCGTGTCACAGATTGCAAAGGTCCAAATTTGATGCATGGTTGAAGAGCTTTGCTCTTTTTCAACTCAGACTTGGGTGTGACAGTATTGTAGTTTTAATTTATAAAGATTGTTAACACTAAGTACTCTGCTAAAAAGAACAGTTTCATGACAATGAGCAATATTCAGTTGTGGGTTTTGAAAAACAGACGAACATGGAGAAAACATGAAAAACCACAATCCCATGTGCAAAGTGCAATTAGCTTTGCGAACATTTGTTAAAACGTGAGCACGTGCTTTGTTTTAATTGTAAATGGTGCAATAAAATGAATATCTATAGCGTTCCTAATAAGAGTGCATGTACAAAGAATTATTTTCGCCAACACGCTCGCTTTATTTGGCATCATTACAACATGGCTTTAATCCACCATGCAAAAAAATCGCATAAAATCACGTGTATCCGCCTAAAAATGTTACAGCAGTATTTTTTTGCTGTGAAAGTAAGGATGTGATATGGATCCCAATCAATGATATAGTTTGCCTTGGGGAAGCCACTACTGTGTCATCGTGGGGCGCAGATCCTCTCTTAATCACGGCGAAACGTAGCTCAAATTTTCCGCTTCCTTGAAACTTTTAATCATTTTATCGATTATGTCACACACCGTGCCGTTATAAATGATTTTTAATTGACTTTTTTCCCTTGAAAATGAGAAACTTAATGAAACTTTGAACGCCTGTATTTCGCTTTCTGTTTGGTTGCATGTGTCAAATCAATGAATGAAAGTACTACTTTTGATGTCTAGATATATTCACCTATTTACATTTCCAACAGTTTTCTTTGAAAAACAGTTTTGAAAACTCTTTGAGACTCAAGAGTGCAGATTTCTCGTTATTGACAAATGAATGCAAAATTTGCCAACTGAAAGTGCCTTATATGATGAAATCTCCAGCGGTTTTCTTTGTGCCTGATGTCAATGGGCAGAGGCTGTTGGAAAATACCGATACATTTAATGCCCTGTGTCTACCAAATCAAGTCTAGTATCATTTTTTTTAAAATTATTACTTTTTTCACCTACAAGTTAATTAAAAAATAAGGTCAGACTGTCTTAGTTTGTCGGTTATGATGCGGACATTTTAACGATAGTTGAAAAGTTGGACAATAGTAACCCCAGAACAAACTAGATTCCTGAAATATATTTTTTGACTTTTTGTTTTTCGTGGTTATCGAATCTGACGTCAGAAATAGTACTCTTCAACTTTTCATCGCTGTGTTGCATGTGGAATACATAATTCAAAGAAATATCACTTCATTAAGAACATCTATATGCTCGTGTTTGGGAGAATAAGTTTTTTCCCCATTTCTTGGTAGACTTTGATTTTCTCTAATATGATTTATTTATTGGATTTGCCGATCGGGACCCAGGTAGCTTCCGTGATTTCCTCCCAATCAATTCACATCGCCACCACGACAGGAAGGGTTCACAATCAAGTAAAAGTCAAATTGACACGGACACTAAATATTTGATTATTTCGTCTCTACTGGACGCTCTTCTCACGTGCACGGACGGAAGTTCTCTTAGCGAGAGTAATATCTAAAACCAACCAAGTAATTCTCCCAAGATGTCGACCTGTCGTCACACCGTCATTACTGCTCGCCGGAATCGCGCAAAAAATGCGGATTATGAGAATGCGGCCACTGCAATATTAATCGATTTCATTTGCTGCGGAATTGCAAATACACATTCCTGGTATGATCCAATTATTGCTCAATCAACACCCGATTGGTCAATATCAAAACACATAATGACTTTGATTACTATAGGAATCGATTCCCGTTCTTCTAATAAACATAGTTTCAATCAAAACGCCTTATCAAAGCCCTTTGTATCTTCGATAACAAACAGGTTTATCGCACTGGTTTTCATAATGCTTGAGCAATGTATCTTTTTTTTCTATAAACTGAGAAGAAAAGAATGAACCACTCGTGTTCATTATGAAATATAATACGTGCATGGTGTAACTTCGTACAGTTTTTATAACATTTGTAATGTATTGAATTTTAATATTTGTAGTCGGTAAATATTGTTAATATTTTTTAAGACAACTACATTCTATTTTTTAAAGGTTAAAATTTAAGATTAATAATTAAAAAGTATTTCATTGACTTAAGAGGTTATCTGTTGAGCCAGTCACAATTTGACATCCGTGCAATTCTTCAGAAGGTCGCAAGTTTCTCTATAATAAAAATTGGCTTATTTGATTTATAGATTATTATAGAATACTTATGTAAATAGACGAGTTATGGGATAGAGAGAATTATTTCAGAGTAAATATTTGAGCGTCTGTTGCCAGTATTTGTGAATACTAAGAGGTCTTTATTGCATCTGTATGCACATGCACAAACGTACAGGGATACATTTCAAATCATTTGAATTTTTTTGCGCTGTAAGCCGATTTTCTTACAAATCTCGCATAATTTATCCATTAATAAGTAAATGAATAACCCTTCTCCATGCTTTTTTTCTTCGTTTTAAATGACCAAAATTGTTTTAGCAAGAAAACATTAGCTGTCATTTTGTGATTTATTTCTCTTCCACCATGATGTTAAGACCGCATAAAAACCCAAAATAAAAAATACTGGATTTCAAACTTTTCTATCAGTCTGTATTCAGGTCGAAATCCAACACGTCTCACAACAATTATAGGGAAAAAATTCAAAAATTCGGAAACCAGCCCAGTTGTTTGCAGACGATCGGATATCTTTGGCGGGAAAATGAAGCACCTGCTTCCGTCAGTTTTTATCCAAGTCACTCATCCTTAGAATACGAAGATGTGACTTTTAGTAGCAAAGTCGTAAAATCATTTTCTGTGCCACTTCTAATAAACGTCTGTCAAATGCCTCTCGAATATTTGTATTACGTAAACCGAAATGAATACTTAAAGAGAAAGTTTTTTTTCTTTCAAATCTTTAACATTTCTGTCAGGGGAAATAAGATTTAAATTGGTTTATATCGTTCGTTAGATGAACGAAACTTGGAGATAACGAACAGTGAGTTACTATGCTCATAAAGTCCATTTGAAATATATAGAATGTGAGCAGAGCCAATACGACTGTGCGACCTCTGAAAGAGAGGTGAAATAGGTGCCCCGGAGGAAAAAACATCCCATGTCGACCGGTCACACCTGCTGTACCTATTGTCAGACAACTTGTGTGAGAAAAATAGCCTAACAATTCGTATGAAAGACATATAGTGAGAGATATTGTATTTGCTTTCAAGGTCACTGAAATGACTGAAGAAATTGAGAAATATACTCTTTGAGCTAGATTGTTGATATTCTTGTTTAACCAACTTATTTGCCCAAAGCCTGTCTCGTTTAAGATAAGTATTGTTAGTTCGTGAACACGCTCTTGCATATCGAATCCTCTGCGAGACATCTATAAACTCCACATTTAGATGACATGGCATTTTGCTACATATGCGAAGTTTAAGGTAGAAAAGTTGAAGTCTTCACCTTTATTATATAAACTTTGTAGTTAGTTTAAAAATACCCAAATTTGAAACATATGTATCAGAGTCTTTGATGTCCAAGATTTCGAGTTCAACGGAGTACTCAATATACAAACTGAATACTATTTATTGATAAAACGTCGTTGATATTTCTAAATGCAGAAGTAAAGAACATAAAAAAAAACTTCTTTTTCAAGCAGAAAATTTTGAATAAAGTCTGCTTCATATGAATGCAAAAAATTTCTGCATGCTAATGATGGGTTAGTACCCGTTGAAAATTAGGAATTAAAACAGACTGTTGGGGAACTTGGATTCATTAAAACCAAGGTTTATTATGTCGACTTTATAGTTACTAATGCAAAAATACCCCCAAAAATATATTATTTCTCATAAGACTATTGCATAATTGAGTTTCCTATACTGACTTTCAAGGTAACATTAGAGTAATGAGTTCGTAATTTCAGAAGAAAAAAAAATTAAGAAAATTTAAATAATTAGTATAATAGTCTATTCTATTTAAAAATCCATTCGAGTCGAGGTAAACTTTGCATATCTGGATACCACAAATATAAACGAATTTTAGAATTCAATAAAAAGATCAAATATCAAAGACGAAGGCCAGGTTGTTTCAAAAATCAGACCACGTCTGCTGTCATCAAGTGACATGTTCTAAATGTATTTGCAAAACGCCATGCACTACATGACATTTTAAAGAACTCTTTGTTTTTCATATCAATGGAAGTTTCCTAAATGGTTCACAGTTTTGAATGATTTTAAATGAGACACATACACTATAAAACGTTGAAGCAGTATATAAGTATTCAGAGTTTTCTAAAAAAAAAATAAATAAAAAAACATATAAAAAAAAATCTTATTGAAAATAATCAAATTTGATCAATTTTACGCTAACTCATATATGTAAGACATACATGTAGAATAAAGCGAATGTGTGGTCACCATATAAAATTCTCATACTATGTCCTTTAGCTGCCACCGTACAGTTTAAGAGTTTTCGTTGGCGTTAGGAACATCTGTAATTGTGACACAAGGGAGAAGACAAAACTGTTCCTGGACTTGATTTTCATTAACATCCGCTCATATAGACGTAACAATATAACAAGTTTGATATAAAAGTCATTTCCACATCTGTTACTGCGAAAAAACGGAAGCCGGCTGACTTCCAATTACGAGCAAGATGGTGGCCGTTTTGTCACTAGTCGCTTTACTTAATCTTTCGTCAAGTTTAGAGATGTCCTTGCGTATTACATTTTAATTGTTATGAATGCATTTTCTTTGTCTCCTTCACAGATATTACTCTTGTAATTTCTTGGTCTGGGGGGGAAATTGAATTTTCGATGTCTTTTAGTATTAATGACTTATTTCTTGTGTTTTGTAGTGTTTGCCTGCACATTTCCAAAAGAGTGGCATGGTACATGGTATCAGAATGTGTTTGGAGAGCTGTCCATATCAGAAAGAGAAATCTCCCGGAAGGGTGTTTGCATTGAAAACGTGGGAAATAAATTCGTTGTTTCAAACAGGTATTAATCAACGTCTGTTTCAACCAAATCATGTCGTCTGCGTCTACCAAGTTAGTTAGCTGGTCCCCAAAGGTCGGAAATCGAATAAGAACCAGTAATTGAATTTTCGAAAACGAATATACGTAGCTTTCATTAATTGTTTTTTGGGGATCAATCTGTTTTTTCTAGACATAATAAAGATGTCAAGTGAGTAGACAATTGGTCATTTTGAAAGACAATAGTAAGATATAATTTCAAGAACTTTATATAGTTACTAAATTTAATTTGCTACTAGTATTGCACTTCAGTAAAAATTGTCTGAAATGATAAGTTGAAAATATTTTTCTCCAACGAATGTGATATTTGATGTTATTAGATAAACAAATATTTCTCTTTGGAATTTTTCATTCTTGCACGTGCAAAGTTATATTCCTTGAGAAAGTTCGCGCCAAAGAATCATTTGTTATCATGGCTTTTGTTATATTGAATTTTGAGTATGTGGCTTAGAGTTATAATGGTACATTGTTGGAAAGTTTTTTCGCCATAACATTTAGATAATATTTTTACGAGAAGCACTTTAGATAGGCAATCACTATAGTTATTTCGGTACCTAAAAATTAAGAGAGGTGTAGATTTGAGAAATAATGATAAAACACACACGATGATCTGTTGTATTTTCAATATAGCTTTATTTCATTATTTTTTTTATTTTTTTATTTTTTTTTTTACATTTATGTAAAATTTGTAAATACAATTTAAACTGACCAGAAAACACACTCATTTATTAGTGTTCCAATAAAAAATAGTATCGCTTACTGCCAAGTGTAAAATAAATGGCAAACGGTTGGCAGTTTTTTTAAGGTCATCTCGCTTTCGATAACTGTTTTATGATCAGCAAAAATCTCGTTAATGCCAAAACAGTTTTTGGGGCCTCTCTCTCTTATCTTATTTCTTTACGGCTTTTATCTTATTGGTCAATCTAAAATTCTTGGCAGGTTTTTTTTTTATTTTTTTTTCAATTATTGTTTTTTTTTCAGGGATCAAGAGTGCTACAGGTGCCTGGTAATTAACCCTTGGCACCAGAATGTAATTCAATATAAAGAAAGTGAGTAGATTTTCTGTTTTCTTAAGGATTTGATGTGAGAACTTTGAATGCAAAAAAAAAATATTTTAAATGTATGGATGACATGCACTTAATAGAGAATCACAAAATATTCACATAATCCATAATTTATATTACAAACAGTTGCAGACAGAGGCATACATTATAAATTATGGCTTTCATGGTTAATTCTAGAAGTTATTAAAAATAACCGCGATGTTCGTCTGGCTTGCCAACACTTTAATTGCTTCAAATATATCTTTCATACTAGAAGCATACATTTATAAGTAAAATTTGCACTTTCCATGCCTGTGATTTTAAAGTTAACACGGGGAAAAAAATTAACTGATATGAAATGAAAGAAATTATTGGTTAACTGTCACTTAATGTGAAACAATTTATTTTACGGACAATAACACGTGTTGAAAATATAAGAAATTTTAGAAGTTTAAAAACCCCTGCCAATAAATATCATCCCATACCACCCAGAGGGATAGACCGATTTAAACAAAAAATGCTTTTTCCACAGCACATTTCTACTCAGCATTTGTGCAGCGTGTTTTCAATAAATCGTTAGGCGTTTTTAAAAGGTTCTAATTGAGTTACCCATTTCTCTGTCTAAGGACATTTATGATACTCGGAAAGTCTCTGGGGTGTAGCAAGCTAACAAAAAAAGATTTCGCATACATATACAGAAACAAAGACGGGATTAACACTTGGTTCCCGATAATTGAGTAATATCCCGAACGGCAGCCAAGGTTTTTGTCTTCAAAACGTAAGCTGCGACAGAGAAAACTCGGGGGGATACTATGCTTTTTACATGGCGATGCCATGAATAATTAAATATGAACAAATGCCCTGGGGGAGAACTGGCGTACATTTTTAAGTTTGTTTTAAACTCAGGTTGGATTTTAAACATCAAATTAAGAAATGGAGTGATCTGTTTCGAGGGCAATATGTTTTCGATTCACTGGAGTAATGGGAAATCTACTTATACTCTTTTCGCTGATCAAATTCTTTATTATATGCAATTCCATAAATGTATTGTAGACGATAAAGTGGAATCATTATGTATAATATAAGAAGTCATTTTCTGTCTATGAAGGGCAGATTATGATTGTGGGTGCAGCAGACATTCTAATAACATAAGTAGATCCTCATACCCAAGATTGCATTTCTTGACTCTCTATACAGTGGGTTATTGCAATCAGACTGCTCTTAGCTCTTCCCTACTTTTGTCATCAGTTTGTCGTTCGACCGACTTCGAAGTACCTCGTGTTATTATCTAATATTTTTCTAAATGGGTCATAATTTGTATACGTCGTCATATACAAATTATTTTAAGTTACTTTTATTATTTTTTCAAGGAGATCGTAATTGCCTTTTCAACATCGGGTTTCCGACGATGCTTTTCAAAAGACATTATCAAAACTTATTTTTGGTTAAGAGAGATACGTCATTTCAATTCCGATTTTTGTTTGCAACTCAAAGAAATCAAGTTGGTGAATGTGAATTTGGGTCACTAGACCTTTACATACTAACTGTAGAAAATTGTCAATTACTGCAAATGAAGCATAGATACGGGTCAAAGTAATCATAAATGTCTTGTCCAGTTGAAACGTCTCGGAAAGTCTCGTGCATGCTCTCGAAAGGTCATTCGTATCGTTTTACCTCTTTTGTTTGTTCTTTAATTCATTTACACGTTTGGTCAAACGTTTGGGCGACTTAGATTTCCAGTTCATCTTTTAGCTATCAGCACGTGACTAGACGAAAAAGAACAAGTCTGAGAGCATGTGGAATGCCATCCAGTGCTTTCTATGCCCAGAGGACTAAAACTTAAAACCTTACACTGCTCAGTAAAAGACAAAATAATTGTGTCCAATAAAGCGATGAAATTAAGCTTCCATGTTCTAAGAGAGATCTTTTCTATTTTTGTTTTGTTCATAAAGCCTCCAGCGAGCTCGGAGGGTCTAATGATTTTGTGGGATCGCTGGCAGCTGTCCGTCATCTGTCCGTACACTTTGCATATTGCTGGTTTTTTTGTATTTATTAAGTAGCATTGAGCATAAATCTGGTGAAAGAAATGAGTGTTATACATCAAGATCGGGGACTGATTTCCTCAAAAATCAATAATGGTCCATAAAGTAGTAAGCGGAGAATCACGGCCATTGATTTGTATGTAAGATCAAATTATCTTCTACGATAAAACCTCCGCAGCAGAAAACACTTTCGGATGACAGTCTTCCCCCCTCTCGATCCGACGTTACACCGTAATTACTTTTTTTCTAGGCAGTGTATTTCACCAATACGAGATGATAAATTCGAAATAAACAACGAAAATGAGAGAAATAATTACCCTTAAGATGTTTGATGTCGTAGACTAATGTACGTCATGAAGACATAAGAAATTATCCTTGTTATCCTGCAATATAAGTCTTCAATAATAAAGCAACAACGGACTGTTGAGACCTTTATTAAAGACAAGAAATTAATTTAATGATCCACAAAAAAAGAAATCATCCTTATTAGAAGAAAAAATGGGGGTTTTTTTCCAGCGGAGGGCGGATGAATTTTATTACCGCGTGTTATTGTGCATTCTAAGGAATTTCAAAGTACACGGTTATATATATTGCAAATGTAAAATGTCGAAGGATTCGAAAAACACTCTTAATGATTACAGACTTATTATAGACCCTTAAATGAATGGTTTCTTTCATCTTTGAAGTACCACGCCGCTTCTCCTCCTCCATCAAAAATATTCTCCCGCCCACAAGAATTAGGTCGATGTTGATTTTTGCACATACAACTTCAAACATTGGAATACCTATATCCTTAGATTCATTTCACTGTTTATGATATATTTTATTCTTTTTTCATTCAATTTATGACACAAAAGATCTGTACGTGTCAGGAATATTTTGCCAGAGACGAACAATATTTCAGGTCGTTGGCAATGATACATTTGTTTGTAACATTACCCAATTTATATAACATGCCAATAATTATTATTCTGTACGATAAACATCTGTATCATTATGAAATGAACTACATTCATGAAAGTATATTCAATCTTTGTATTTGTAGGCTACTGTCAAAGGGAGAAGTCTTTAGAAGTAGCATGCCGTAGTATTAATGGAGATTATCCCCTCCATACCATAGTCAAAGGTAAAAAAAAATAGTATGCATTTGCTCATTGCTCAGATATTTAATAAAAATACTTTGCTATTCTTAGCAACCTTCATGTAAACTTTTTGTTTTCCTTGTAGTGCCTGGAAGCCCCGTTAAATGTCCTTTTCAGGGAAAATACTCGTTCTCCTATACCAAAAACGGAAGGGGACCATGCAGCAATCCTCAGTCTGAAATTCACGCATGCGCTGATGAGTCCAAATTTAAATTCGTTTACAAGGAATGTCAAGGCATTCCAGATACGAAAGAAAAAGGTACATATTCCTTTGAATATCAAAATGAATATCTTAATTTGTTGTGGTATACTTGTGGATTTTTTTATTGAATTATTTAAAAAGGACTATTTATATGAAAGGGTTTCAAAGAAAACTTGATCTTAAATGGTATTACCGGCGGATGTCGGATGCCTGGAAAATTTAACCAAACACGAAAGAATTGTATCATTTCAGAGGTTTATTTCCAATGTTTGGCCACTTGGGAGAATGGGGAGAAGTATTTATATGGCAGGTTTAGTGGTTCGGATGAGCTTTCAGACAGAGCCGATATGTACCGATGTTTTGTGAGTACATTTTACTGCAGCAGTGCATTAACGATACTTATGCTTCAAGGGTTTTTCGTGTCGATAATGCATTCTTAAGAGCACATCTTGAACTTATGCAATTAGTTGAAAGTACAATATACATTCTTTTCTCATTATAATACAGAGCAATTTTCAGCTCTCATTAACAATTAACGACATAGGTACGGCGTTTATGTTCTAATAAATGTATGAATAATTTTATGTGTACATAAATATATTTTTAGATGCACAGCTTATTTGGTTATGGAGGGGATATGTCTATGTCAGCCGATGCTTCCTGCCAAGGGCTACAAAGCCCCACCGTGGGGACATCTACAATGACTTTAGGTAAGTTAATTTTCCCGTAAGTCCATTAAAAAAATTTTTTTTTTCTAAAGTAGCAGCCCATTGCTCTTTAACGAAGCTCTCATGTTTACAACGATAACAAGTGTAATCATATCAAACCATTCAAGTTTATTTATATTAAATGAAGAAATCTATGAACAAATCATGCCGAAATCATTGGGCTACAATCCGCCGAGGCACCTGGTATTAAAACAACTGAGAGTCTCATAAAAAAGTATTACTTCAAGTGTGTGTTGAGAAAATATGTCTTTGTTTATATCGCATTCTGATTGATACCTGCAGAGATATGTTTGATAGGCATTCTACAAACGTGTTGATTACATAACCTTCTCCAGCTGCGTATATTACCCAGTAAATATCCCCCGTGATATATTACCACATCGATTTGGGAGGGACTTTCCTTTTTTGCCTTGCCGTTTGATGCTTTCTAATGCTGCATCTGTTTTATGCTATGCATGCCACGCCATGCGGGCCCTCTATCTCGAATAGAGAAAAAAAAATAAATGTTTTTGTCTAGGTTTCTTCTGATGGCGATATTCAAATGGAACCATCACAAAACTTTTTCTTTATGGTTTTGTCGTTCTGGAGCCAAGCTCATACATAACTAAGGATTTTTTTTAAATAGAGTAACGTTGCGTGATAAGTTTTCCTGAAAGATGCAGATCCATACATTCCAATATTTTTTACCAACTTTTCATTTGCATTTCATCATTTCAGTTTTCATAAAGCTTGACATATTCTGCTATCCTTTTTTACAGAACGATTCCCAACTCCTCCCATGCAGTGTCGATTTCCAGCCATATTTGAGTTTAGAAAAGTTTGGAGAGACCTGTCTGGAAGAACTCAGTTAGTTGTAGATGACCAGATGCAGGTGATAAGAATTAAGGATACCTACCCAAGCTACTCGCTGAACGCTGACGAAAGCGGAAGTAACGAGGTCAAACTTGTCATGCGCTGTAGGACATCTCATAGTGGAATAGGAAGTGTTCACAAATATGTCGTATACACAACGACTAGCGAATGGTACTTGTCATCAGTTAATTCTATTAAATTTGATATTTAAAGAATTAATTTTTAAATAAATATTCAATATAGACAATTTTTACTGTAACAGAGCCAGACGATGTATGTAAGTTAGCCCAAACGGTCAAAGTCGATTTGAAAATACTTAGGTTTCAGCAGTACATGTACATTTCATTTTATGAATTAATTTTTTGGATATGAATATCTCTACCCATACTTCGTACAGTAGAATTTTATCGCAAATAGAGGATAATGGAACCTTTTTTGTAGCTATTACAATTATGTATGAAGCCTCTGCTGCAATAAATCTATAATTTTGACATGTTCATGATAAAATTATCTGTTTTCTGACGTAGATACTAATATTTTAGGTCGTTTCAACCTTGCAAAAAATGATATTGAAATGTCAGAAGAACCACATGCTCACATAAAACATCTCTTTTTACCATTGCAGTGAATCAAAATATAGATGTTTACGAATAAAGAAGAAGGATTCCGATGGCAAGGTTTTAGAAATGGAGCTAGGTAGATACATACTCTATTATGAATTTAGTTTAAATATAATAGTGAATAAGATTCTTTGTGAAATAGGAAAATGAAATTTTTTTTTTGTTAAAAAATTTTGAGACCAGCCCTATAGATGAAAACTGTCAATAGTCAACGAAATAAATTTCTTCAATATTGTATTTCATTTTGTTTATTATTTCCTCAAAGGACAACCATTTAATGAAGAATTCAATGCTTGCGATGACAAAACATTCACAACAGGAGAAAAACGAATATTGATTGGTGAGTTATATTTTGAATTGCTAATGCAAGATGACAAATGCAACATATTTTATATATCCTGCACAGATGGTTTTACTACTTGTTTAATTGTCATTGTTTTCCAATACTCAAATGTAAAGGAGACTTATTGGTAAAAAAAATTATCCGATAAAACTATAATTATCAAACATTAATGACGTTTTCAGCTGATGACGTAAAACCAAGGAAATGTCCGGCGGGTGCAGTTGGTAGCTTTAAGTTTACGGACAAGACCTCAGATTGCGGCGGCCAATTCATTATCGGGTGTAGCACGCCTCAGGAAATTGTTATCCAGAAAAAATGTCCCGTCAATCTTGAATCAGGTGTGCTCTCCTTACAAGATTCGTTCATATAAACTAGAAGTTTCAGTATTAATGTCATGACTTGAAGTGTAAAAAAATTTTTAAAATCGCATTTTTTTAAAATTTATTAATTTGACCAATTTTATTTCGTAGTGAATATATGGGGATGCCTGTCGGACTGGATAGAGGATCAAACTCATTACGTCATTGTACAGTCTCCTAAACTTCTGAAGCCAGCCATGTGTCTGGTGAGTTTCGATTTATTTAGAGCCATATCTGAAAGCCAATCAAAGAAAAAAAAAGCACAGACTTACCCCCACGTCATTGTTTAACTTTGTTTTAGTAATCTCCTAATAAAGTCAATAAATCTGGCCAATACATCTTTGTTATGTATTAAGTCATGCTATACTATTGCTGCTGGGTTTTTAAACTGTAAAAGTGCTGCTTACTTAGATTGTGAATTTCTTAGGGATATTTGTAAAGTTAATTAGTACAGGGAATGCTTTATTTTGAATTTTCCAGTCCTTCACAGTCACCAGTGCTGGGATAGACGTTCAGGAGGATGAATACTGCATGAGGAAAACAACAGTCAGTCGATCGTCCATCAATTACTTGTTGTTTACACCAAAAGGTTTGTTAACGGTTCCTTTTTAAGTCCTCTTGGCCTTACTCTTTCTAATTGATGTCTATGCCCTCTATCCTACGCATTTATTCCCAGATTTAATGAACATGTCAAAGTATTCTTCTTAAGCATGCTTAGTGGGCGATATTAAATTTTAATCTTCGTTCCTTGATGTTATCGTGTTTCTTATTAGGTTTATTTAGAATTATAAACTAATGACGATGTTTCGTTGTAGGAGAGTGCAATCCGAACACACACCCATCCATCACGGAAAGTCCAAGTGAAATCACCTCAGATCGAACGAAAATTTCTCCTGACAGAGGAGGAACGAATCGAATTCAGGGATCTGAAGGCATCATTAACGCCGATAACTCCAGTGCAAATCTTTCCTTATCATTCTTCATTTTAGTTCTATCTATCGTGACACTATACCTAATGGTCAGGTGATAGTTGATAGATTAAAAAAAATCTTTATTATTCTCTAAAATTGCCGTCTGCTCAAGTGCTAAACAAGATATGACGTCATTCCATTGAAAATCACGTGATACAAAGTATCAGACCAATCAGCATCATCTACCTTCAAGTCGGTTCCAAGCCGAAAACATTTACAAAGGAATACTCGTATAACAGCATAATCTGTGAGCTCTTGGCAGGACATGGAGCAAACTAAATGGCATAATATTCATAAGAACCCTGACATATTTCAAAGGTTCGGTTTAAACATAAAGAGATCAAGTGATGGAAAAACTTGCCGCATTAACTTGCCAATAGTGCTACCGGTTCAAGACCGGAAGTGGAATCCATGGAACATTTTTTAGTGTCCATAGAAGGAACATGATTGTGATATATTTATTTTTTTCGTGCTTTTAGTCCCAGCCATGGCGGTACTAAGACGCGGTGCTAACATTATTTTTGTTGGATCTCATTATTAATTATATGATACAGATCTGTGAATTTTAATTCATTGCAAGCTCTGCTTTTGTCATTCCCACCATATCAATTTGAAATGTTACATTTCAGTGTCATAATTATCAACATAGTTTGCTGGAATTTGACTAGATGTTTGCTAAATTTAAATGAGATTATAGAAATGAGATTAAAGAAATTTTCATATAAAATAATACTCGGTAATAGATGAAAAAAGAATTCTAGGTATTTTGCCACACAACGATATAAAAAAAAAAAGATGGACTACATTCCCTGAAAGTATGAAAGGAATGCTGATTAACCATGTATTTTTGACACATCAACATTCCTATATATCTTTGTAACAATATATTGACATTGAAATGGTTTTGTGCAATAGAAAGCAGCAAACATTGTGCATTATATTCATATACAAGAGAAAAAACTTGTTAATCTATACCAAAAGCATAATACTTTAATTACTACTGTATATTTATGTTCCGTAACTACTGTATTATGATATCAAGTATTTTTTGCAACGAAGAACTGAGTTTATTCTGTTTATGATGTTTTGTACATGAAGGATGAAAGAGGTGGTAGAATAAATGTATATAAAATGGATGAATTATACAAAATGGTGAATCGTATGTGCATGTGATCATTTCATTTCCTTTTATTGTGTTCAACAGATTTGTATCCTTATTAAAACTTCGATGGTTCTACGTTCATTTAACATGAAGTGAACATCTTGCTAACTTAACTCAAAGATAATTATTAGAAAATATGAGAGCTTCATAAATTTTATCAAAGTAAAATTTGAACTTTTTTGTCTGTCATGCCCTTCTTTGCACTACCGTCCTCTTATCCTTTTGTACTCCTTAGTTAGCTGGACCTTTGTTAAAAGAAAAGGGGCTAGATGTTCTTGCAGTATTAGAAAAAAAGCCCCTTCACCCTTTTCAAACAAGTTTATGTTGTTTACTGTATTTTGCAATCAAATGTGACACAAATTTTCAGTATTCAACGTTATTTAAGAAGAACGCCTCTTCAGGTAGCATAAGTTTTATTTTAATTTGTAAACTCCACTTTTCTGTTCAACCAAAGATCTAATGCTTTTCTTTGTATTAAATTAGTACAGTCCCCATTTTAGTGGTTACACTGTCATGTTTTCATAAGAAGTTTTAACCAGTGCCAATAGAATGAATGAATGTCTTGACTTTATATTGTATTTTGTTTTGTTTTTTTCATGTGAGGAGGTATAAACGCTAGGTGTCAGTACTTTCATTTCTGTTGTTACGATATAGAAAGTGAAAATGAAAGTTGTGACAAATTGATATATTGTAAAATTGTACATTACTTATTATAAAAACGAAATATAAAAAAATAAACAAAGTAGTACTTTTGTTGTTTTCTAATACCAAGCTTTGGATATATGTACACTTAAATAACACTTTATTATATATATACCATTTCAAATCTCTAAGTTGGATTCATTTAGAAGAATATTCATATTGGGGATGGGGGATAGGGTAAGGAAAGTTTATACAAATGTTTTTCTCCTTGATTGTAATCACATAACAATATGCAGGACATTCAGGGAAAATGGAACTTGTTTGAAATTTATTTTCAAAGGTTGATATTGCACATGACGTTTCGCTTTGCTTCTTTCCAACTCTTGAATTCTCTGGTCTAGGAGTAGACGCGACAGGAATTGTTTTGCTTGCTTGACTTTGGTGATGAATCGTTTACTTTTTATTCCTTATGATTATTCCAGATGGTGACGCAGAGACAGAACACAATTGCTTTATACATGAACAACATATGGATTTCAGATTTTACAGACGTGCTACATTTACCTTTATTCCCCAAAAAATATTTCTAAGGTTTTTAGACAATATTTGACCAACATGCAGACTATGAAACTAAGCCAATACATTTGTTATGAATGTACGACAAAGACGGTGTATGAATTTCAGAAGGTTATTGAATGAATAAGTTGTTTTTGGTTTGCTTTGAGGTCAACTAATTAACAATTAAATACGGTTATACACAATTATTATGGGATTCATAATATCAATTTGATAAATTCTAACTGTTTCACATTCATTAATAAGACCATTTAAGATCCACAGATACACAAAGCTACAAGTATATATATCACTCCGTTAATAAGTATAAAAAAATATTGAGCATATCATTTCAGAAATGTTTTGCAGAACTTTCCAGCTGTAAATATAGAACGGCGTTTATCATATAGATGTATTTCAGTGACAGATATGGTTTATATTATATTTCATGATGAATATTTTCAAAGAGAATGTGAAAAATCGACAAAGGAAATAATAAATGACAGTGGGTTGTTGTATGTAGATAGAGCAACCACGAATGGTTTTCTAATCATTCTAAATCTCCATGCTGTTTTTTGAGGGCAAAGTGACAGGGTCGCTCTGTTCTGATGAGTTCTAAGATTGAATGCTCGTATGTTCCGATTTTTTTTTAATTCAAGCATCCAACATGAACATTTTCAAAGTAAAGAAAGAGAAGAGAAGGGTAAAATTGTGTAAAAAATCTAAGATATATGTTTTTAAAACAACCATTGAACTGACAGTGCGCAAGCTGACAAAAATATTTGTACCTTACGACTAATTTAGATTTCACTCCAGGTTTTGAGGATTTTGAATAGGAATTCAGTCGACACAGTTTGTGGCTCTTAAAAGTTGTCACAATATTTTTTTTACAAATGAAAATCAGATTTTGTAAAGGAAATAACAAATCAGAAAAAAATGAAATCGACAAGAAACGTGATGGATACCGTTAGAGATTTCTTGAAGAATACAGACTCAAATTTTTGGAAACACACATTTCATATGAAAAAAAAAATATTCAGAGATATTCCAATCAGAATAATTTTTTAAACTTAAAAGCATACTGAATATAGTACAACACACAAAATATCAGAGATGTAGTGGTTCAATTACGCCGGATTTTCCTGGCCCAAAATATCTTGAGGTCAGGAAATACGTCCCTTAAGGGAAATACATACTTATATGTTAACGTACTTGTATCTTAAAATATGATCAACTGGTTGATTTATCATTTCATCAGATACCGGGAATATAATATCAAATATACTTGGCTTCTGTGAAACAAGTACACAATTATCATCGACAAACTATCATTCGTCATGGTAAGTTGTCCCAGGAAAAAGTCGTAAAGGTTTAAGAATATTAAGGTTGCGGGATCGAATCCTATGGTGAGACTTGAAGAACCGGTCCTTAGGATAAGACCGTATGAACTGAGATCCAGTGTTGCAGAAGATGCTAACACGAAAAAGATCCCTGACCAAATATAGTTCCAGGTTTAGATCTGAATTTGCAGCCTTCCACCTGGTAATTGGTGACGTCCCTAATAAATGACCGTATAAATATAGGCCGTTGTCACTTCATAATGGTGGGACCCCATTCAGAGAGATTTTCGTGCCAACACCTACTGCAATACGGCATCTCGTGTTATACGGTCCCATCCGAAGGACCGGTCTCCACGTTCCACACTGGATTCGAAGTCGAACCTGCGACATAAAGACCAACTCCTTACTGCGCGACTCTTGAGCAGACGTTCTAAACACTACGCCACACAGACGACAAGGTGTTTTGTATTTCACCACAAATATGATAAGATTGCCCGGTATATGTTCTCATTTGTTAAAAAAAAATGTTCGTCAAGTAATCTATTCAGCGATTTAACATGAATTATAATTTTAAATTTCCAATACTACATTAACACATTACACTGAAGAAAATTCTGTTCTTTTCTGAACTGTAAATGTAAGATCATCAAATTCGTGCATTGTTGATGAAACCTATGATAGAATTGTAATCGTTGCACAAGAATACCTAAACTAGAAAAACCAAAAATGGCGAAATTAATAAGCTGGACGGACATGTCACGTGGAATTAAGTCTTGTAAAACCGGAAAGCCGGACCAAATCACTGCCTCATATTTCCTTGTCATTTCCTAATGTTACTTGCCCATTATTAAAATGTCGTAAAATTTGACGTCCAGTCTTCTCTTGTTTCCATGTATCCATAAAGAGTGATTTGCGGCAATGTCAGTGTCGTTTATCTCCCGGATTAGACCGGTTTACGACCCTCATGGGACTTGACAACACACGCGCTTCCCGCGAAAAATTGTTTCCGAGGAAAACGGGCTGGACAAGAATAATCGGATATGTCCGAAAATAATCTGTCCGTCCAGATTAGCTTATTGATATTCACTTGATTCAAACAATAATACTCACAAATATTTGAATTATACTCATCCATCAAGTGAGATGTGTACAGAGAGAAGAAGAAAACAAATTCATTAGGAAATACTGGCGGACTCTGTTTCAGAGTGTCTAATACAAATTGATATAGACTGAAGGAAACAAAGCATGACAAGGGATACCTGTATTATAATCAAACATGTTATAAATCAATATTTTGAATATTTCCAAAATCAAATGAACATTTCTTTCTATTGTAAAGAGGTGTAAAAAAAAAAGTTGTCGTCTTGCAAGAATTTTATTCTTTTATCTAATAATAATATACATTTTACTATTAAGGGTCCGAAAATTATTACCTTTCATATTTTAAATCAGGTAAATTTTTCATAATCAGAAACGGATATTTGAAAAATAAAAAAAATAATTCTTAATACAAAGGATCTGAATGATCAATTTTCCTAATGGAAAGTCTGTTGATTTACTATTTGTAAACTTCCTGTTTGAACACTGGAAAAACACTTACTTGAACACATCCGGACTTCATTCATTTACAAATGTTATAAAATGGGTTAAGTCGTGTCGTTTTGACAGATAAAACAAGATGGCAAACCTATATATACCGATGCAGAGAAAACAAAATGGCCCCGTACAAAAGTCAGAGAGTGAAGAAGAAAAGAAAAAATATAGGCAAATACACAGGTATGCTGGATGTTTTTTTTTAAATCAAATGACAAATCTTAATATATCTGGTTTTATTACAACACAGTTCAATATATAAACCACTGTTTACAGATTTTTTTTTTAGAATGTACGATATTTTGTTGAACATAACAAGTAAACTAACATCGTCTCTCAAAAGCATGGTAGAAAATATATCTTTTAATTAGTGATAACTAGTTCAGGATGAATGATGAAATTAGCTAGCAGTTATCAAACTTACGAATCAGGTAATAAATACGAAAATAAGGGTAAAGAAGGGTCCCCTGGAAACCTCAGAGGTGGGATCAGGTGTCTTGGGGGGAAATAGTATCTCTTGTAAACCGGCCACAAAGGACGCGGGGGTATTTGTATTAATCATGCAAATGGAGGAAACCTTTGTCAAATGATATTTAAGAAAAGACAATAATCATAATAATGTTATTTACAATCAGGGTTATTAAAAGGAACATAGATATGCAAAATGCTGATTTTAAACAAGATTGTTGTAAACCCTGTAAAATCAACTTATTTGCTTATAACCCGCTTCTATTCAAGTATTCATTGTACTCTCAACATACTCGTGAGTATCGAGTCAGCAGGGATACATAAATACCATATGTAGCTGATTTCGAAATACTTCCACATCAACAGTGCAAGCTGAAGAAGGTGAAGCTGGGACCATCCTGTTTGTAATACATGTATTAGTGTATTTATGAGTTGGAAAATCAAAAGTCAACAAAAAAGACACATGAAAAAGATACGTAAAACAGAAAATCGCAATTTAAGGAAGTGTGCATTTTATTTTTAGTCATATTTTTTTTTCTCAAGTATTTTTAAACGTACAATTTTTGAATATATATTTTACATACAATGTAGCGTTTCAAACAATGAATTGTATATAAATGCGCATTTTGCATGTATGTAATAGAATCTTGAAAAAGACAAGACTTCAGCTTATTCAGGAACGTGTATTGTGACATTTTTACTTTTTACTTGAAGTGTTATTACAAACCGTTAACAGAGACTTAATTATATAGTTCTTACTGCAGAGTAACTCAATAAATGTGTATACCTTTTGCGGAGCATATTTATATTTTTCCAACGAGTTTGATCAGCTTTATTCATAACCATACATAATTCTTTTTATTAAACCAACAGTATATATGATTGGTATCATCCTGATCAAACGGAAACGTCAGCAAGAGACTTTCTGGACCAATATCCTTATGATCCAATGGACCAAGAAGCTCTATTTTTGGTACACCCGTACGGGAAGTACAGGGATGACATCAAATACGTCATTTCCTGCAAGTAAGGACTGACTACCAAACAACAATATTCATCTTATTTTACGGAAAGGAAATGCGTAACTTAAATATGTATTACAGACTCCTTTTTTGTTTTAAATTCGAAAGTACATCTATTTCCTCTCTTCTACGAATTACCAGATAGGATTTTCCTTTAATTAAATATTAGAACTCTTAATTTTTTATTACCTTCCTCCATATAAAAATTAATATCATGAAAGTGCGACCGTTACAGCGAGCATAGTCGGCTATTCTATTTTAGTTTAGAACCTTCTTTTCAACCGCATGTCTGGACTCAGAAGTCACATGACATCGTATGTAAGTTGACTACCAAAAAGAATCCTGAAAAAGTGGTAATTATAATAAAGAATGTTTAATCTACAATTTTGTCAAATATTAATTAAATCAAGATAAGCCTTTGTTCTTGATGTACTTTTTTGATATCGTGAGAGTGGATATTGTGGAGAGATCAATTCGCAAAGGATCATTTTTTTCGTGGCGCAGTGGTTAGAGCGTCTGGTCTAGAGTCGCCAAATAGGCCTATGGAGTTGATCCTTACGTCGGGGTTTTGAATTCCACTGTGGGACGTGGAGACCGGTCCTTCGGATAAGACCGTATAAACCGAGGTCCCGTGTCGCAGTAGGTGCTGGCACGAAAAAGATTCCTCCCTGCTCATTGGCCCGAAGTGCCGAATATAGGACAAAATTTGCAGCTCTCCGACGGCAAGTGGTGGCGACTCCATATGAGTAAAAATCTCTCGAGAAGGACGTTAAACAATATACAATCAATCAATCAATCCATGGTCTATTCATTTTAATGTGCAAAGTCCGAATATTCTCTTCGCCCAGACTTTGTCGTTAGAGCTAGTTAACTGCGCTCGCTATTTAGAGTTTTATTTTTTGTATATCAGTTATAAAGTTTTATCATTTTTCCTAATTGCCAATTACGTTCATCTTTTATAAATTCACCGTTTTGATAAGTAACCATTCTTTGAACTTTGATGTACAGACCTTGATCGCCGATATATGCCTGAAACATCGCAGATTTGGCGTAAAACATTAATCAATCATATTCCAGTATATGTTTGCTTGAACAGATGGAAGATGGAAGTATACCAGTACCGTGTTCGTTACAAAGAAGATGAAGATGTTTACACTGTCCGTAGCGCCAAGGCTAACAGCCTGCTGGACCTGGTAGAACAGTATCGTCTGGCAGCAGTGGGTCAAGATGGGCTCATGTCCTTTTACACCAGAGAAAGTGCGCTCAACCATCTTATGTATCCTATACCATGGCCCCACAAGTATAAAGATCGGTAAGACAAACATATGAATCATGAACATATATAGGTAATCATAGAATATGTATGGCTATCCTCAAAGATTGTTATATCTTAGTAAGGCAAAGTCTCTCACTTAAAAAAATTTCTTGCCGTGTGCATCCCAATGCAACATCTTTAAAAGCATGATCGGTACGGGTAGGATCTTTGTTACTATAGAAAGGACTTGCTTCGAAAACATTTTTGTTTAATCATCCAGAAAATGTATACTGGTGTCTCATAATACCGCGGTACTTAATCCTTTTGCATAAAAAGTGTTATTCCAATTTTTTACTTTAACTTTCATCAAATACTAACCATAAACCAATTTATGGCCTAACTTTTTAGTGTCAAATTATTTCTCAGGTTTGCATTGTTTAATTTGTTGTATATTTTTAAAACGGGAAGTCTTATTTATCTCCTAAATTCGAGAGTCTCATAGTATCGCGGTATAGAAAAACATGGAAACTTGTAGCTGACATGGACTTCAATTTTTATTTTTATATTTACGGTGTAATTCAACATAAAAAAAAAACATTCATACAAACTAAAGACTTTCGAAACATGAAATTTATTATGGCTTTTACTAGGTTATAAAATCAATGATCTAAAAATGATAAAAACGGGAATGGAAAAATGTAAATTACGTTTTATTTGAATAAAAAAATTACCGACGCATGTTCCATACTTTTTAATCATCCCAAAAGTTTACATTCGGACGACAAACAGACAGTATTTTGACAGAAAGGATATGAGCTATGTATCTTAATTTTTGGAATATACCGCGATACAATGGAACCCGCGATATAATGAGAAGCGGAGTATAAGTAAAATTCAACATCCGTACCAAGTCTGGAAGTACTGTATGCACACCTACAACAACGTTTAGTTGTAACACCCATATACGTATGGTCAGCACCTCGTAAAAATTAATTTTATCATTAAGCCATCCTAGTAAACCATCGTTGTAGGAACCATAAGTCCCACCTCGACAAACTTGCACGGATGAGTCATTTATTTAAAAGACGATTCAGAATCCGAAGCATACTTGGTTGATTTTTTTCGCTAAAAGGAATCATCCATGAAAGTTTGTTAAGCTAGAGCTTATGTTTCCTTGGGAATAGAAATGTTTTTAAACAAAAATTAAATTTTTCATCTAATTAAAAGAATAGCATTCAAAGCATGTGAAGTTTGTTGAAATATTTTCAAAAATTTCAAAGTAGTGCTTAACTAAAGAGATGAATTTTAGTTTGACAAAATCACTAGAGTGTGCTTCAAATTTATATCAATTCATTTTAAAAAATTAGCCAACAATAATTTTACTGAAAATGTTCAATGAAATTCATACAAAAGTAAAGTAATATAAAGGAAATATGATGTAAAGTTAAGAAAATGGCTATTGAAAGGAATTGGAAGCAAGTCTTTGCAATTGTTTTGCTTAATATAACAAATCCTTTATTAATTTTTCTAAACAGACATGCATGATATTGATGCAACAAAGTTAAAACCTTATCAATAGCAAGAATGGAGTTGTAGACATGAAATATCACAAATTGTATATATCTTCTTAATCTTCGAAAATGAAAGAAAAAAAAACTTTAATGCATCAACTGTGCAAGTTAAGTCGAATTGGGGACTTATTTACTTTAATCTTTAAAAATTTTAATCTGGTCATCCACAAAAATGTTCATCCACAAGTCGTGCATCTAGATTTATTTTCCTTGCAAGTTTGATCTAGATATTATAAAGTATGTGCTTAGAACAGGTTTAAGCTATTTGAGTTGGTCCCATTCCCAAGTCAATACTAGCGGCCTTATTTTATCAAAACTTGCAATAGCATGGATGATATTTTCTGCGTAAGAACATTGCCAAACTTGGATGTTGGATCTTTCCTATGTTTTCTGGTGGTTAACAAAGTAAAAATTTGGAGAAGGTTCATTCAGGTTATTTGCTTCATCTGAAATATGACTGGTAAAATGAAACATAGTAGACTGCATCACCCATGCATTTCTGCTCAATATAGGACGAAAAAGCACTTCGAAAGAAATTTACTTTAAAGCATTAGCCTAGGATGCAAAGCACGGGATAAACATTTTATGCAGAAACAAAAGTATCAATCAAAGAGAGAAAAGCGAGTTTTTCGAAGAAAAAACTTCTCATTCAAGGAGATTATCTTTCTTTGTCTACGACTGGTCTTTACTTGAATATTAAACAAATATTTATATTTTGAGGGACTTCAAAAATTAAGCAAAAACAGCTTTATGATGTTGTGTTCTATTAATAGTTATCATAGTCAGCTTTACTGTACCTGAACCATCTAATTATTTGTTTTTTTTTTCTCTACATAGGTGCTACCATGGGTTGCTGGGACGTGAAGAGGCGGAAAAAGTTCTACTGAGTGGATTTGAATCTAGAGACAGCTACAGCCCCTTTCTGATCAGAGACAGTAACTCGGAGCCAGGGGTTCTAATACTGTCGAGCATGTTTGTGAAAAAATCGGACAAGTCACATACCTTCGAGCATAGGCGAATCGACTTTAAGGTCAGTAATCAGCTACGGGTATAGTTAAAGTGTAACAGCTGATTTTTTTTTCTTTTATATGAATTACATCTATTAATTTTCAAATAAATAACACTGTATAAAATTCAAAACTTTAAACATCTATTAGATTAAATTTAGATTAGATCTTTTAAGTTAATAATTTAGAATAATGATTAGAAAATCTAAATACCATTCTTACTTTTTGAAGAATTTGACAAAGATTAACAAATTTAATTGAATAATGAAATAATAATTATCATGTAATTAACTGATTATCAATAACATTATTAAATTAAAATATTTAACCAGTCCCCTTCTCTGGATACGACAAAAAATAATACTGCGTGGTTTAATACGATAATCAATTATGTTTTTTTATATACATGTAGGAATGTATAGGCAAAAATCTTTAAAACTTTTTTTTCTATCTGTTTGGTTTGTTCCTTGTAGGAAAAGAAGTTTGGGGCTCTGGATTGCAAAGAAGAAAGTCTTCAAGCTCTGGCTAGTAGTATTGAACAAAAGTATCAGAACCGCGGCGAGCTAATGGACTTAAAGGTAAAAAATTTATATGATGTTAAATATATCTTTGTAAATTTGTTTAGCTTGTAAAAAACAATAACAGTCTTTTAATTTAATACTTGAATTTTTATCTTTTTTCGCAAAGTGCAGCATAATAAAAAGCATCTGAGCTTAAAATTAAGAAAAAGGTTAATATGGTATGAATAGTTCAAAAAAAATTTATTTTATTTTCTTTCTCTGTCTTTCATTTCCGATAATTTCAATGCTTTTTGAGTTAAACTTCGCCAGTATTAAAGCGTTGTGTGATGTATATTTTTCTTTTCAAGGCGCTTAACAGAGAAGGATTCCATGGTGTTGATACAGGTTTGTAAAAAAAAAAAAATAAATAAATAAAAAAAAAAAAAAGCAACGCAAAATTTTAAAATTGATAAAGCATGAATTTTGGTCAAGATTATTTTGCATTTTTTGATGAGTGTTTTGGTTTGTTACGAATTTGCATGAGGGTTTTTTTTTGTCCCCTAAGTTTTAATATGCAACAATGTTATAACAAGTAAAGACCTATGTTAGAATGCTGTATATACTTTAATCAAATAACATTCATATTTTATAACATATCTATAATTATGATATTGCCATCTTCATAAGCTAAAAAGTTATATATTAAAATGTTAAAACATCTTAGAAGGCAAGAATTTGTTGTGTATTGTCATATCATGAACACAACAGCAACAACAAAATAATAATCAGATGAAAAATTAATGATCTCCCAATATTTATTGTAACTAAGTCCCGTGTTCTACGCGTGTTTATAGCAAGTTGAAAACGAAGTGAATTTTATCTATCGACTTATTTTGTATTTATTCCAACCTACTTGCACAAGAACATCTATAGTCTTACGAGACTTTTTTAATTGAAAGATGTCCTAGAGCACCATCTTCCACCAAGCATAAAGAAGATGGATGCATCAGCCATAAAAATATTTCGTGAGGCTTTAGAAGAGGGACAGGAAAAGTATCATCACGTCCGTGTAATGGTTGTTGGCCATCATGGCGCGGGAAAATCAAGCCTCACTAAACGTCTGCTTAAGGAAAAAATGGAAGAGGTTCAAAGCACGGAGGGAGTGGAGATTTACAACAAAAGAGGGCGCTTTCAGCTCAGTGACCACAAATGGATCAAGTTTGACGACATAAAAGGTAAAAAATAATATGAAGTTTGTAATATCTATTTATCGTTTCTGTTTGCTGCTGTAAGAATTAGAAATTAAAGGGAGAAAGCTTATTAAAAATTGTGATATTTCGACTTATTTGTGGGTTGTTTTTTTACAAAAATAAATCTGAAATTAAAATAAGCTTTTTGCTTTATACAGAGAATGAAAACGAAAAACTCGAAAGGATTGCTAGACATCTAACACAGCGATTCCCAGAGGGAGTTCCAACATACATGTCAATAAGAGAATTTACTGAGAAAGATACTGGGGAAGAGAAAACAAATCCTAACACATATGCTTCAACTGTAGCAAATGTACAAACTAAATTTCCCACGACTTTTCCAAAGCAGAGTGAAACAAGATATCAAAACACACAGAGACATCGCATATCTCCTCCAGCATTTAAGATAAAACCAGACATTGGCCGAGAATCGCAAAATGATCAATATGCAAGTTTAAACAAAGTCCCCTATAGAAATTCTCCCCCAGCTTCGAGAACATCCAGAGGAATACAGAAGCAAAACAATGCTCTTTTACCTCCAGAATTCCCACCGAGAATATACAACACGTCCTCAAAAACGTTCCCCGACCCTCGTGTGAGTACATCTCAAAGTTTGTCATCTGATGATAGCGACGGTGAATATGATGATTTTGAAATTCATAACACCTACTTGACCAGAGTTCTCCAAGACCTGAAAACTCAATTCACTACCTCAAATGGATCGCTAACACCTCCAACTCCAGATGATGAGGAAGTAAAGGGTAGCGATGATTACGTTAGTAGTAATAACAGAATTATTATACAAAGAGGAAGTTCTATTGAACAGGCACTGAAAAAGGACCTAGAAGAGGTAATTTATTTAATGTTTATTTGTTTATACCGGTATTTTATCAGTTTCTTCTGTCTTGTTTAATTGTATGGTTAAAAATTCTCATAACAGTTACTTCAAATGTCCTCCAACTTTCTTCAAAACGAAACGGGTTCCATCACATTTTGGGACTTTGCTGGATCGACCGTTTTCCATTCCACCCACCAGGCCTTTATGTCCTCCAAGGCTGTTTACCTTCTGGTGACTGATGCGTCTCTACCGATGAATCACTTCATCATGGACGACGATGACGGGCAGAAGTCTGTGGGTGGTAAGTTTGATTGATTGATTGTATATTGTTTAACGTCCCTCTCGAGAATGTTTCACTCATATGGAGACGCCACCACTTGCCGGTGGAGAGCTGCAAATTTTGTCCTATACTCGGCACTCAGGGCCATTGATCAGGGAGGGATCTTTTTCGTGCCAGCATCTAGTGTGACATGGGACCTCGGTATATACGGTCTCATCCAAAGGACCGGTCTCCACGTCCCACAGTGGGATTCGAACCCGCGACGTAAGGATCAACTCCTTACTTCGCAACTCTAGAGCAGACGCTCTAACCACTGCTCTACGCGGGCGACAGTAAGTTTGATGGAGTGCTGATTGTGAAAAGACCATTGACTTTTTAGGCTGATATTGGTAATGATACATCTCTTTTAACTTCTACCATATGCGATGAAAGGACGTTTTTCTGCGGATCTCAACTATGAAGATTTCTTGGACGTTTTACGATAACATGCATTCAGTCATTATCATTTTTGTAACAAAATTGTTTCTTCTTTAAGCTTTTCTGAAATTTTGGTTGAATACAATTCACACATATTCATCTGAATCTCAAAGAGGATCCCCAAAGGTACTTGTAGTGTCTACACACAGGGATAAACTGCAGGTAAAATGATTAACATTCAATTAGTTTGTTCTTTATCAACACAACTAATTAAAACAATAAATTTTAATCGTTTCTAATTTTAATTAAATAGAATGCCGAGAAAGAGATAGAAGAACACCATAGAGATATAAAAAGAGTGGTGAAGAAGAAAATGCTTTCACCTCATCTTGTTCCTGAAATGTTTTGCGTGGACTGTAATGATCCTGATGAGGAGACTTTCGACAAAATTCGATCTGAAATACTAGGCATAGCAGAAAAGGAAGATATTCTGTCACAGCAAATCCCTGCAAGCTGGATCTATCTGGAGCGAAAAATCATGGATCTTCGTAAAGAAGGAAAAAAGGTGCTGAATTTCTCGGAAGTAAAACAGTTGAACAGATTTTGTGCTTTACATTTGAAAGATGAGATGGAAATAAAGGTTTTTCTGCAGTTTCATCATGCAATTGGCAACGTGTTGTACTATGATGAAAAAGGTCTTGATGATATCATTATTTTAAATCCTCAATGGCTAGTAGATGCATTCAAATGTTTAATTACCTCCGACAAGTTTCTTGGATTATCCCCCTCACAATCTGTTCTTGAAGAAATGAAGACAACGGGTCACTTGAGTATGGAAAACATTGAAACATTATGGAGTGAAAGAGAAGACAAATCCTATTTGGAGAATAAAGAACATATCATCAAGATTCTGGAAAGGATGGATATTATCTCACGACCTAAACGCTATATGAAAGACGGGGAGTCAGTTCAAGAAATGACTACATTTCTCGTTCCTTGTATGATGGCTTTTGATTCTCTCACTATAAGAGCCAAGTGGTTAAAGTCTGCAAACAATGTACCAGCCTTAGGATTCTACTTCAAGGATGAGTTCATGCCACCGGCTGTGTTTTACCGCTTGTTGGCAACGTGCATGACCAAGTTTCCAGTGGTAGAACAAAACGATATCCCTCTTGTGTTTGCCAACACTGCAGTCTTCCGACTAGATAAATTCAACTTTCTGCTACTTGCTCATGATGACTTTCTCATTCGAGTTTGGGTGTTAAGGCTTCCCAATACATCATACCAAAAATCTTCCCTCCACTATACTATCAAAAATTTCTTAGAGGAGAGTCTGGCAATTATTTTGGAGATATATACCAGCTGTAGTGCCTGCCCAGACCATAAACTCACCAAGAGGTGTCCAGACTGTAGAAAATGCAATGCAAATTTTCCATTTAGAGTTGTTATTCAGTGCAGCCAGTGTACATCGTCTGACGCAACCTTCAAAGGGCTTCACCTGTGGGAAGACCTGAAATCAAACGAGAGTGTAGTTTGTTCTGACCATGACGAAGTCCATGTTATCGAGTCCTCTGATGTTCTTGCCTTCTGGGAATGTCCAAAGGTATGTTTGGAAGAGTGCTATAAAAATTATCAAGTGATGATTTTTTTTTGGAAATGTTCCTACATTTTTCAATCCGTTTATTGATCTTTTTATACTTTAATAAGCAGGTAGTGCGTCCACAGAATTCTGCTGAGTGTAAGTATAGAAAATATCGGTAGCTATTATTAATTGGATTTTAAATTGTAATAGTCCTGATGAACTTCATAGACTTTATAGACTTCTTTTTTTTATAGTGACAGTAACTGTACTGGAAAAACCACTGCAGATGTCGTATCAAGTCCTAGGTCGTCTTGCTAGAAGAGTTTCCAACTACTGGGAAAAAATAGCTCATAGTATTGACTTTGACGATGAATTTGTGGAGACTACCAAGCAGAAATTCTGTGGTCTGGAATGGGATTGCTGCTTTCACATGTTAAGCACGTGGTTTGACAAAACACCGAAAGGACGAGGAATTCTGAGGACATTGGAAGATACCTTCACAAAGCTTGACATTGATAGAGATATTTTGAAGACGGTAAATACACAATCAACAATCTCTCATCTGTCCAGAAATGAGCAATTGAAATTAATATAATTTTCTCTTTTCTTTAAGAAAATGCGACATTAATATTTGGTTTTAATTTTGCAGTTGGACACAATTTCCATTGAATTTGAAGGTAAGTCTACTCCTTGTCAAATTATAACGAAATATATTTTTGCTGAGTCATGATTTTAAAATGTGAATTTTGTTGGTCTTTTTCTTTAGGACTCAAATATTAACAAAAATGTTAGAATTTTTAAGAATATTACTTTGATCTTAGATAATAAGTATCTTGACAAAAAAGTGTCAAATCGAGGAATCGATGTTATCTGCAACAGACTTGGTAAAAAGAGTTACCAGCTTGCCATTGAGTTGGGGTTAACTCCGGTCAAGATCGAAGTGATACAAAAGAATTTCCGAACATCCATTGCTCGTAGCAGAGAGTACATAGACCAGTGGCGTCAACAAGAAAACCCCACATATAAGGATTTACTTCAG